TTTTTTTTTTTTTAATTTTATTTTTCTTTATATACAATTTTTTAATTTCTGGGCTTTGTTGGAAATTCTTTATTGTGATGGAATAGGGCTATAATTTTGAGTCTAAATGGAAGTCCGTTGAACTACTAGCAAATCTGTGAGCACCCTCTCGTGGACTCCTGATGTATTACAGCATCTTCCATCCTGTCACCCCGAATTTATCTTTTTCTATGCATTTAAGTATAATTTCCAGATTTTAATATATTAAATCAGGGAAGAGCTCTTGAAGCTTAAAAAAAAATGCTTAAAGTTGCAAAATTCACAGAAGCCTATATCAGAGAATTAAAATATCATTCATACACAATACCTATTTAAAAGGTGTAGAATTGGTGTCAAATCTACATTAAAAACTTTACATTTTATCCTGGTTTGTGTCAGGTTTTTATCTAGCATAATACTTTGTATTTTAGACAAAAGTGTTTAAACAAAAAAATCAGTGGATAGCTTTTCTCTTTTAAAAAAGATATAGGTAATATGGAATAATTTATGTAACTTTGGAGATGTGAATTTCATATTTAGTGTATGTTCTATTTATACATTTTTGTTAGTCGTGAGCATCTCGGTCCAAAAACCCAGTAATTATTTGCTGTTTGGGCTCTGCTGTAGTCAGCTGTTCCAATAACAACGTTACCTGCCCAGACCAATTCTGATTATCACATACATCCCTGATGAAATGGCTTTGAACAAAGCTAACTGTACTACATTACCTTTTTAAGTCTTCATAAAAATAATTAGGAACTTGGAACAGCAGTTGCAATTTTTCTGGAGTGACTAATGTTTTTTCAGCTTTTAGAAAGCAAATTATCCCGAGGATTTGTTTCTGTAGATAAGTAATAGTTTTCTGTGCCATTTCCTCGAGCATTAAGCATCCTTTTACCTTTGCTTATTCGTTTTAACAATTAGAGGTGCTCTCACTGCAGAAGTATCTCCGTTAAGCTTCTCTCCAGAGCTCTTCCAGTTGGCTCCTTCAGCACTTCGCAGGTTTGGGCCGTCGCTTTATCACCAGCTTGAGGCAAGAACCGTTCCTTCCCGCGTGCTTTGTGCGGAGCCAACTGGGTTGCTGTGATAGATACCAACAGGCGAGCGGAGGAACGTGTCAGCTGCCAGCTGGCCTCCGAGGTGCTCATCGCAACTGTTCTCGGGCTCTGCTGCCTGCCGAGGGTGCCAGCTCTCAGCCCACGCTCTTCTTCCCTCTTCTTCCCCTTCCCTAATGAGAAGGAACGGAGTCCGATTGCAGACTGGGAATTGGTGGGTGTAACTGGGAGAACTGGTTTCGGTTGCAGTGTAACGTTAAGAAGGCAGGGATTTGCACGGCCTCTGGGTGACTGATCTGTTAGCAGGGTATACGGCCCCGCTCTTCGAGTGTTCCTCATGTTATTTTAGGTAATTTTTTTTACTTGTAAAAGCTTCCCCTCTGCCCACCTGCTTTAAGGCTAAATATCTAGGAACAGAGAGAAGTCCTTTCTCCACTTTCCTTCCAGGTAAGTGAAATCTGGGGTTGAATTTGTTTTCTCAAAGCCCACCGTCCCACTTGCTGTCTCTCCCTTTGCTGACACCCCTTGCCGGAGCAAAACTGGTCATCCTTCAGCAAAGGTGGATTATTTCTTGAAATTACCAGCAGGTGCTATGGCACGTAAGGTGCTGTGATTGCTCATGCTGTCTAAGTGAAGGATTTGAAGTTATATTATTACAGGTAAATGAGACGTACAAAGTGATGCGCTGAAATTAACGCCTCAATCTGTGATTTCATTTGTTCCAGAATGGCGTTCTTTCTGGAGGAGGTGATGACTTGCACCAAGCGTCTCCTGGAGGTGATATCTGGCTGGCTGCCTCGCCACTTTTTCGGTGCAATCCTGGTTTCTCTCCCAGCTCTTGCAGTTTTTTCACACTTCACCTCTGATTTTGAAACAAATATACATGTAAGTTGTCGAACTCTGTTTCATAATCTGACGTTTTGGATCTAACAAAGCTTGTGGCTTGCCTGCCGTCTTCCTTCACCTCCCTCATGCTTTACATCTGTTTGATACAAACCCCTTAGAGGGGAGGGATAGGGCTTTCGTGTGTGATGAAATGCCTAGTGTGTTATGTAAATACAGTCACTTGCTTATTTGAAAACTCTCATACGAAAGAGCAGAGGGATATCTATACCTGCCTGCCTATATACTTTTTTTTCTTAGACGAAACACTTCTGCAGGTGTTTATTCTAGATAATGCAAGTAGTGTCTCTCAGGCTTTTCGTTGCATTCATTCTGGTTTTGATTCAGAGTTTGTCGTCAGAGATGCTGAGTATACTTAAAAACTTTGCATGCACATTCGTGAATCTCGACAGCGAGAACTATCAGCCGTGGATGGTTTTTCTTTGCAGAGTTAGATGGAGGAACTCAAAGGAGAGAGCTCGCAATACATAGAAGTGATTACTCTGCAGGGGCTGCAGGAATGGTTAAAGGAATGGAACCACTGGCTTCTGAGAAGGAATGGAAAGAAATTGGGTTATTTAGCCCAGCCACAGGACAGTCCACGGGGGATTTGGTGTCTCCTTTAATAAAAACATTCAGAAGGGGGTACAAGGGGTTAAATAGTGAGGAGGGGCAAGAACAGTTTAATTTAAAGGCCAACTGTAGCATAAAATCAATGCTTAAAAATTGGTTGTGAATAAACCAGACTGGAACTGGAGATGAAAGTTTGTTTTTCTGCAAGTTTCTCTTAGGTAGCACAGCATACGATCCTTCTTTTCCGGGATCTTCAGGGAATTCTGTTTCACAAATCTGTTGCTATTGCAGGGCCCTGGGCATAGGTGACAACCAGATCCTCTTCATTCTTCCTGTCACGGTTTAGTATGGGGTGTTGGGAAGTGTTTGTTCCGGGGGAATGTGTGGACCAGGCGGTTTTTGGTCCTTCCTGATTTAAAAATGTATTGTTCCATGGTTATCACAGTCACAGAACGAGTGTATTTGATATTCTTTCACATCCCACATATAAAACCATTCTGCAGCCTTTACCTTTTGTGAATTTTAGTTACCTATTTTTAAGCTGTATATTATTCTTTTTTCAGTTTAATGATGGTTTTCATCCCTTGTGACTACCAGTAAACTAATTGTAGGAATGTTTTCCTCATGCTGAATGGAGCTGAAAACCTTCAAATCTCTCAAATCTGTCTGCTGATTTTTATATCATCCCATTCATCACCATCCTTGATCATCTCTCCAAACGTTTAAAAATAACATTGGAAGAACCATTTTCTCAGTGTATTCTCGATACTTGTTCAGATCAGGTTGTTAGCCTGGATGCCTCAGGCAGTGGCAGTGAGACGATGATGTTCGTCACCAAACTGGGAATGAACTTTGCTTTCTTTCCTCTTGCAGGTCCTCCAGAGTCGTGGGGTTGTTGGCTCACTCTCCAAGAGATGTCCCAACTCATCTTGTGCTCAGTGTTTCAACAGTCACGGAGCTCTAGGAAACGGAGCAAATCTATAGAGGGTCAGGTAAGTGTCATATTTTACTATGACATGGTTTTGCGAAGTTTTTTTTTTATTCGTAGCATTTTATACCTTCCCTGGATATAAAATAATTAAAATCAAAATTAACAGAAATAGCAATAATTAAAAAAAAAACTTTCCAAAGCCATGCATACATAGTAAAACGCAGCGCTTACTGACCCTCTATAGGCTGGCTTCATGCTGGGGCATCACTTGGAGTGAGAACCAGTGCTCTGCCACTTTAGGAGACCTGAAATGGGGGAAAAAAAGTAAGTTTAAATTACTGGGTTTTATGGACGCTTCTGAAATTCCTTTTATCCATTTTTGAGTCATTTAAAAAACAACAACTGTGCTGGTGGTTTAAAAATGGTAAATTATGTAAGGTTTTTTTCCCATACGCTGTGTCTACTTCTGAATCATGCTTATTTGTTATGCTACAGTATTGCTAATCTGCAGTCTCTGCACTTCAGCTGTAAAGGAAATTTAAAACGAGAGAGAAAGGGAGAGAATGATCATTTGATACCGTAAAACGCAGTCTATAGCTACAACAGAACTCCGTAACGCAGTTGTGGAGCCTCTGTTTTAGCTTGGATGGTCATGAATATTCTTGATAAATCCAAAATTTCTGCAGCAGCTTGAGAGTTTTGACCACTGTGAAATTGTATCTCAGGGAAATGAAGTCATTTTAGGGAATATATCCATTCTGCCCTTCCTTCTCTTCGTCCGGTGAAGATGGAAAGGGAAACTTGTGGGGTTTTTGAGATAGGCCATTTGGAACAGAAAATCTAAAATTGTCCTTTCAAATTGGTACAAGGGGTGGTATTACCGAGCATCGTTTGACAGTGACTGATACCTGCCTTTTGTTATCAAAACAGATTTTTTTTTTTTTTTTTGAATTTGAATTCACCTGCTGCTGGGCAGTATGATAATGTCCTCTAAAGATGTGCTTTTAAAGTAGACAGTTGGGTGAAGTTTCTGAGGGTGAATGTGTTCTGTACTCTCAGTGCGGGGAAATTTTGACGTTCAGTTGAAAACAGACAGGGTTGAACCCCAGCAATGAAGAGGAGGTTACCAGGAATGTTTTGCCTTTTTTTTTTAATTTTATTTTTATTTTTTAATAAGAAGAGGCACTAAGCTTTTTGCAAAGGTAAGCTGAAGGTTTTGAAAGTTACTGAAATAATGGTTGTGTAATGCAGTAATACAAAACTCCATTTAGGGAAAATTGTGACAAACTACCTGTGCTAAAAGTTTTCTTGCTCTTTGAAGGGAAGACTTCCATCTTCAAGTGCTGTCTCCTGATACACTGTGAGGGATTACTTACTGTGCATATAATACAGACGAAATTAGATCCTTCTCTTTCATATCACAAATCCTTTAATTTACGCTGGCATTTATGTGCAGAAGGGCTCCGGTCAGCAAGAAGAAGCTAACTCGCGCTTTCTCTCTTTGTTGCAGTACACCATGTTTATGTGTTGCGCGATTCTGATCACCATTGTGCAGTACTGTAACTTCTGCCAGCTTAGCTCCTGGATGAGATCTCTGTTGGCAACCGTAGTAGGAGCAGTGCTTCTCATTCTGCTCTACGTCTCCTTGTGTCCAGACAGGTGAGCATCGCACCTTAGCACTCGTAGACCCTGTTTTGGATGAACACATTTGGTTTTCTTCGATCTAATGCATGGGATTTTAGTATCTGTCATGAATTTCTCCAGCATCTCAGACGTAATAATTTTATTTGGGAAGAGATCGGCGTTTTTTGGTGGGTTTTTTTTGAAGGATTTCAGGATGATATCTGAGGGGCTCTTTCCTGTAATTCGTTTTGAAATTACACTCTGTCCTCAAGTGATGTGTTTTTACGGCACACTTATCAGACCCATAGAATTGCCTTTCACCATGTGTTTGAAAGTCTATTTTATTAAGAAATTCCTGAGGCATTTGGTGGTGCCAGAGAGCCCAGTTGTTCCCCCACACTGCTCTGGATTTATTTCTGCCCTTAGGAATCCTGGATCTTTCTTCCACCTCCACCACAGTTCTCACTGTGGAAGGCAGGTGCTTAGATTTAATAGGATTCTAATGCCCTGTTTCCTTTCTCACTTTCCTGCTTTTTCAGAGGACGCTGCAAGACAGTAACCAGAGGAGTCAAGTTAATGCAGTTTCTGTGCAGTAACCTTAAGGCTTTTTAGTTTTTCCTCTGATAAGGAATTTTCCCCACAGGAGAACTGGTTTGCGGTATTCTCCTTCTATTTTCTTTCCAAGACAGTCAAGGGATTCCTTCCAGCCATGCACTCCTGCTGTCAAATTTTATAATCAACTTGCACTTCTCTGTGGCTTAAGAGATCTCCTAGCCTTTGGCACTCTTACCATAGTGTGGACATCAAAAAACCCCAAACAAACCAAAAAGAGTTTGCAGATACATGTTTGGTGTGAGTATTTAGCTTTCAATCCCCTCTTCAAGTATCTTCAGTGGTCTCTTTTTAATCTTGTTCTAATTTATATTAAAAAAGGGAGAATAAAAGTCACCCTTCAACACCTGTTCACATCTGTAATTTGGAAGTAGCTGTAGGGATTGTAGGAAGAAAGTCTTTCCCTGGAAAAAGAAGTAACTTGGAACATTTGTCAGTTGACAAATGGTTTTTAGATCATATTAAACTCAAAAAAAATCCCTTTCTTGTCTCTCTGCAGAGCACTCAGGCAAGAAGAGCAGGACAGTTGTGTCTAGATTCAGTGGAGGGACATAGCGTTTAGTTTCTGGATGCACCTCCCCTTCCTCATCTTTGATTTGTCCCCTTGATTTTAGCTGTCCAGCTTACCTAACGTTGTCTCTCCTCCAGCACTCTAAGTGACCCTCTCCCAGTAAGGAAGCTGACTTTTTCCCTTACAACACCGACACTCGCTGTCCAACCACCAGCTTCACTGAGAAGTTAGCCCCCAGGTTGGTTTCTCAGGGAATTTAGTGAAGAACAAACCCCTGATGCCATTTCTTGCCTCCCTGGCTACTTTTCCATAATTTCCCCCCAAGCAGGGGTTCTTGCATTCAACTACATGTGTAGTAGCATGTCTGCAAGGAGCTAAAGTGACATACCTAGGTGCTGGTTCACGGCAGAACCTTTTAACATGGGGGAATACGGTGTGTTTGTTGTACCAAAAGTCTTCATACAAGGGCAGCCAGTCAAAGCAAAGCTTGAAAAAGGAATCATTGCGATTGACGTGCGTGATTGTCTGAACAGATCATCCATGTCAGAGGCATTTTGTTGCAGAAGAGAATTGGAGGGTTTGGTGCCATAATTGTAACTCCTAATTCCTTATTCAAAGGCAAACTGTTAAAACAAATTGTATGTGTGATTACTAAATCAGCTTGTGTGCCAGCTCTTTATTAAGACTTTGTACAGAAAGATGGACACAACATTTGGGATTTTCCCTGCATTTGGACTTTATTAAGGGACTGGGAAAGGCTGTTCCCAAGCAGAGAGGTGGAGACCTTGCTGTTGTATCGGTTCATTGTCTTAAGAAATTTTGCTAACGATAGCATCTCTTTGCCTGTGGTTTGAATAGCAGTTGTATCGGTTCATTGTCTTAAGAAATTTTGGTAACAATAGCATCTCTTTGCCTGTGGTTTGAATAGCGGTTACACAAGTGAAGTACAGAAATCACGAAATATGTTGTTATTTAATCTTTTAAAAATAAATATTTAAAGTAATACAGAGCTGTTCCACTGCAGATCTGAAAAAGTGATTTGTAGAATTGATCATGAACAAAAGTAATACAGGTTGAATTAGTGAGACCCATCACTTTTGTTTCTTAATAATAACTTTTTGTTCCTCTCTTATCATTAGTCTGGATAATATTTTTTTTGTCACGGTGGTGATTGCAGCTTTGTATGCATCACAGGCAATTCCATTCTGCAGATTTCTTTAGTTACTTTTGGAAAAAGGAATAATCCTGAGAGTTGAAATACTTGGTTGCAGTAGAGAATTTGTAATGCAAGTAAACACAAAAATTGCTTGACTGCTTATTTATTTTCTGTAATAGCATTTTCAAAAATAGACTCTATATTTGTTCAGTGTTGGTTTTGTTTTGGGAGGGTGTGGGGTTTTGGTTTTTGGGGGTTTTTTGGGTGTGTTGTTTGTGGGGGTTTTTTTAAATCTTTGTATTGTGTGGTCAGATAAGTTGAAAGCATAACTGGGTTTTAGACCTCTGAAATTACTTTTCCATGTTTCCAAGGTAAGATTGGATTGTTTAACAATTCCTTGTTCCAGGCATCATCTTGAGCGCGTTATCATCGGTTACCCTTCAGAGGTGTTTGCATCTCTGTGTCTGGCTGCGGTTGCTTCTTCCGAGCAAAAAGTGCAGATAAGTCACGTTCAAACAAAGTTTGTCTGAAGCTGATCAAGCGTGCAATGCAATTATTGGTCCTACAGTCTACATAATAGAAAAGTTTAAAATGCTAACTGAAATTCTGGCAGAATGCTTTAACTTTCCTTCTGATATCAATGCTTTTTTTTTATTTCAGCTCTGTGGAAACTTTTCATCTAGATTTGGCACAGAACTTTAGGTAAGCTTTATATAAAATTACCCTCTTTATGTTTAGGGATAGAAACCTTTTCAGTCAATAATATGTAGCAAAACTTTGCATCCACAGCAGTACACTTGAGAATTCGACAAATTGGTTCAGCAAGTTGTCTTTAAGCTCCTTGTGTACATAATTTCCTTTACAGAGGACTTAGGTATGACCAAAAGTCATCAGAGAGCTGATGCTGCAGTCAGAGTTGTGTAATGCTATTTTCTTTTTAAATCTGATTTCTAGGAAATAGAACTATGGAAGAGTTACATAAAATAGCATCTGTTTTTCTAGTAGTAGCAGTTTTTCAAGCATTATCTGTACATCATGAGCTATTTATTTTATTTCCTTGGTTGATTTGCACCATTCAGAAGTGTTCCAAGTTGGATGCTACCCACAGCTGGCCAGGTGAGAATTCCCTGCAGTAGAGGAACTTCAGCTGAAAAAGCTGGCTGTGAAGTCGGCTGCCTTCACCAGGACGGAGGGATGCTGGCGAGGACAGCCTGGGTGCTGTCTGCCACCCTGAGCTCGCTTAGGCAGAATAGGAAGTCGTGTCACGGAGAGCAAATGACTTTTAAACAGGCTTTTAAACAAACAAACAAAAATCTTTTCCTGGGTTATTAATAGCCCCTTATAAATCAACACGTTAAAGAGTCAGTCTAATTATTTCAGTGCTGAATTTCTCAGGGGTTTATTGCAAGTTTTGCAATACTATTTTGAAAGTGTTTTTACTGGTCCGTAGTATTAGAAAAGTATGTGTTTGCTAATTGCAAGTTTGAGGGCAATACTGGGGCAATATTGTACTTGATTGAGCCAATGACCCTGTGAATGTATGACTCAGTAATTCATCTGAAGTGTGTATCCAGGAGGATGCTGCTTTTACTGGGAATATGTATCAAAACAAAATGACTTGTTAAAAATATCACCTACAGAAATGCTGTGGTACAGAGAGAGAGAGAGAAACTGTGTTTTCATGTTGCATATTTACTGACCAAGAAGTTAGCACTTACTACCGTGATTTTATTTTTTTTTTAACATGGATTTTCCTTTTTGTATGGCAAGTATCTATGTAGAAATATTCCTATTTGTATTCATGAAAGATAACTCATTTTCATAACAGAATTCCATTTCACTAAAGCCAGAACGGAAAGTTAAAGCCGAAAGAACAGAGGTGGCTTGATTTTTTTGTTTAATATTTTTTTTGTAAGCTAAAACACTCAAAATGCAATGTACAAAAAATGAAAGCATGGTGATCACTGGAAGTAGTGCCTTAGGATTAGCATGAGATTGGATCATTAGTGGTTTATTATTAGTTTGTGAAATCACCGAACCTTTTGTGCTGCCCAGAATTACAAATATCTTGCCCAGCGCTGACAACAGCTTAGCAGGTTCCTAACCAGCTGCTAATCACTAATAAATAATTCATTCTGCCTTAAATAATTGACAACCCAGTCTTCGTTCAGTGACTGTTTCTGTATCATCATCATTTATTAGAAATCTGTCAAAAATTAGCTATCAAGCACTGTTTGCGTGCAAATATTTTTCTTCTGGAAAGGTAGCGTGTAACTTCTAACTCATGACAAATAAAGGTAAAAGTGGGTAAGAAACAAACCATGCAGAAGATGTTTTTGCAAACAGGCACGGAGCGCGCTCTGCCTGCTTTGCAAATCCTGGCTTGTGATTTAAATACCAAATAAGGCAGTGACCAAAATATCTGGCTCCTTAAACATTTCTAAACTTCATTTTAAACTTTTTATTAGGAGATGTACTAGTCTGTCATTCCTTCAGTTGGGGGAAAAAAAAAACCCCCACATCTATTGTGCATGTGTTAATACAACATAGCGCTGCCCTTTCTGCACGGCAGCAGCAGCGTTGTCAGGTTGGTCGGTCTCTGTTTCAGTGCAGGGACTGTTTCAGTCCGGCGTGATCCCCGTTAACAATCCAGTGCTGATCTGAAGCTGCCCAAGCTTGTAAATTAATACAATTCTTCCAAGTGCCAGCAATTAAGAGAGAGAACGAGGAGTTAATCCTATTCTGTTTCTACCATTAATTCACAACAGAATTTGGCTTCTCTTTTTCAGGGCTCTTTTCAGGTGCATTATTGTGTATCACAGTTCTAGAGTTCTGTGCAAACAGAATTTCCCCTTGCTCCAGGTGATGGACCAACAAAAAAAGTATCCTCACAAACCTTTTCGTTGATCCTTTCTCACTGAAATCAATAAATAAATAAGATTCTTTGCTCATCCCAGTCAGCACAAGAGATTTTCTCGTGTTTTAAGAAGGCCAAACAAACTTTTCACTTGCATGCCTTTAATGAGGTTATTCCCTTTTCTTGATCAAGAATTAAGGTAATTATTAGGTAATTAATAAGGTAATTATTAATGTTGCATGGGAAGAGAGATACTAGTAATGTTCTGAAGTCTTAGCACAAAGTTCATTTCTGGACTGTCCATGCTATGCTCAATAAATCAAAATATGGAATTTGCCTTGTTTTCCAGCCAGACCAGTTCTTCAACCCAAAAGAGATACTACCATAAACAACAACTTTTAAGAAAGAAATATTTCTCCTTTTCATTCATTTTTTATCTCAGAGCAGGTAGGGTGTATTATTTTCCAGTTCACGACGCCTCGGGCCAGAACAGTGATAGGCCACTTGAGGTGGAAAACTAAAATTTCTTGATGATAGGGATTTTTTTAATATGCATCCACTATATGTTCTTCATCGAAAGCAGCTGTTTGATTTCCCCTTTCTGCGCTGTTCCGCCATTGCATTCTTTTTTAAGATTTAGGAGGCATGCATCCTCTTTAAATATAGCAAGATACCCAAATCCAAACATAGGTTACTGGCTCAGAAGCAAAATGGCTTTCCAAAAATCTTTATAAGTAGAAAGCCATTATCTTTATGATTTGTGATCAAGCCAAAGGAGATTCTATCTCCGGAGCTCTCACTTGTTCCATATTCAACACCCAGCCTGGATGAAGATGCCAAGTTAATAGTTAGTCATCTGTGCCAGGAAGCACTTCACCAGTTTGAGTTAAAGGAACATTGTCAGCTTAAGATTTCAATTTGATTGATTTTTTAAAATGAGTTTTCTGCTGCAACACCTCATAAAAAGTAGAGCTTAAAAAGATTTGGGGGGGTGTGATCCTTCCTGTTATAGGTGTGGGGGTTTTTTTCCCCTTCTTTTCTTTCTAAAGGGTAGTTTCAGGTCATCTTTGCTAACTGAATGCATAAGATGATTTATACTCCTGTAGGTACTGTAACCTGGTCACTTCAAAGTCCTGAAATTTGATTTCCAAATGAGTGACGTGTAATTTCTCCCTCCTTCAGGCTGGCATCGTGGCTTTTTGTACTAACGCTTGTAGCAGTCGCATCGTGATCGAAGATGCCTGCTCTGGAAAAGATACTGCACCTTCTTTTCTGAGATACTAACCCATTACCTTATTAATGAAATCAGGTCAGCTTACAAGTGAGTCACTCATTTCACAAGCAGATCTCTTAAGGTTGTACACCCACGTGCGAAACAAGGTCAGGCCAATGCTCGAGGAGATGACAGAGTTCACAGATGCAAGTACTTGAGGAGCGGTGAACGGGAGGCAGTGGTTTCTTCTTAAAAGGCAGATCATGCGTTCAACACAAGCCGCTTTCTGTAACGTAAAATTTGTGGTGCTTGCCTAATTCATTTAAGAGGAATTAAAGTACTTTGACGAGTATTTTGTACAATAAGCTGTAAATAAAAAGCCTTTAATGACTTAAATAAATCCCTGTGGCAGGGATGTTTGATGTTAGAGCAGATTATCTGGATCAAACTCGTACTCTCAAAGGAGTAACGTGTCATTGCTCAGATCTCTTCCCACAAGATAGGGAAAACAGAGAACTGTCCTGAAGACAACCTGAATCATGCTCCTTAACCAAGATTCATTCCTCACCTTCTCCAGCCTTATTTATTCTCAAGATCTTTTCTCTTATGTATCCTCCCCTCATTTTGTTTTATAAGCCCGTCAAACTGGGAGGATGCTCTGCCACCTGCAACATAGGTAGCAAGGAGTGTATTTCAGGAATTGTTACCATTCTGGTCATTAATAACTTAGCCTTTGTCTTGGTCTCTGACTTGTCTTTCTGGGAGAAAATGAACAGGTTCATAACAGAGCTTCTGTTGAGAAAAGTGGTTGTAAGCGAGAAAGGAAGGAGTCTGAGTACAGCAACACACCAGCAATTATGGGAACCTGATTGTAGGGACCTATTCCGTGAGTTGGGAGTAATCGCCTCCTTTCATTCTTCCCTTGTGGGTTTTTTTTAAATATCAAACCAATAAAATGAATATACCTTCATTTCTCCTGGGAGAAGTATATTTACAGTTGAAAACAAAAGGTGTGATTTCCAACGTAATATGCGGTCTTAGCTTTAATCTGAAATTCAAGTTATAAGCTCTCTAGTGTAAATGTTTTACAGGAAACTTTTTCTCCTGTAGGCTTACTGTGATAAGAGCTAATAGATAAAAACAAAGACCATAGCATGTGCAAATGTTTTCAGAGATTGCGTGCATTCATCTGTTTCACAACTGTGCTATGTTTTTGCTTCATCACGCTTTTATGTCCATCAAATATTGAGGAATGAATATTCAGAAAAAGAAACTGGGTGTGTAATACAGCTCAAGTGCTAAAACGTCCGCTTCAATTTCAGAAGTGGAAGCATGTCCCCCATGGACATAAAGAAACAAACTGAACTTAGAAATACAGAAACAAATTTAGTCTTCTTGAGCTCTTTGCTACAGTTGTGCTTTGAGTTTTCATCTCTTCTGCCAACATACCTGCATAAAATACAGACAGAGACTGAGATACGGGTTGCCTTTCTGTTTTTCAGGGAGAAAGGTTGATGCGATGCTTTCCCTTATCAAACCATCTCTTCACTTGAAAAACTTCAGTGTGTGTCTGCTCATATCAAATCTTAAGCTTTGGCATAATTTTACAGAAAAAACTTGCGGTTAAGTGACTCCAGAAATCACTGCGTGCCAATCTGTCAGGGTCCAGACTCAGTTTCTGGGATTGCATAGGTGGTGTCTTCTCAGGTTGAGTTGGTGCCTTTGCATCTCTCCAGAAAGCTGAGGTCGGAGACTGCAGGTGTCTCCCGTTAAGGGCGGTTTGGCACTGGAAGCATCTTCCATCGGTGCTTCATAATCTGCACAGGCAGTTGAATTGTCAAAAGGATTTGGAATATTACTCTCAATCTATGTGAGACATGACTTTTTTTTTTTTTTTTTTTAATCTTGGCACTTTGAGAAACTTTCTGTCTCCACCATTAAAAGCTTCAGTGGTTATAACGTACAAAAGACATCAACCCAGGGCTCCATATTCTCTGCTTTCACGCAGGAGACATGCAAGTTGTTCGTTAAGTGTCTCGTACAGGGTTTTCTTCTTCCGAAACCTTCATGTGTTAACATTAAAGGCCCGCTGCAAAGGTTACTGGTCTCTGATGAGGAGGCAAGGGAAAAGTATGAGGAGCGTATAGTGTTTCTGAATATTGGTGGCAATACAAAAAAAGATAAATTCCACAAAACTTAGACACACCTATACAGATATACATGTGCACCCATATATCTAAACACACACGCAGGCATTATTAAGCATTTTTATATACATATTTACATGTAGTGCTTTTAGTTATATATTTAGATATAACGAGAACTGTTTCCTTGGTGAAGTCCTTAAAATGGGACTACTTAAAATAGGTAAAGGCTGAGCAATTTCTGTGCTGCTGAATCTTCTGATAGCCCTTTAAGGAAGTACTCAGTGAGTTTAAGAATGAAATTAATTCTTTAGCATGTTTAGCAGCAGATAAAGTTATCGAAGACTATTTTAAAGTTTAGTATACATACACTTCCTACACTTTTTTCTAGAACAGGATTTCTAACTACAGAGCAGAAACGGCAGTGCCCTAACTCTCTGTTTTTAAATGTACCTTTCGTGTTTTTCCCTTTCTTCTGCTTCCAGCTCCAGAAGAAGTCCGTGCAACAGTTCGGTGCCAAATGATATGAAGAGGCCAGCAGACCTAATCGGTCAGGAAGTGATTTTGGTTTCCTTCCTTCTACTCCTCCTGGTCTGGTTTCTGAATCGAGAGTTTGAGGTCAGTTACCGCCTCCACTACCATGGAGACGTGGAGGCCGATCTTCACCGCACCAAAATTCAGAGCATGAGGGATCAAGCTGACTGGTTGCTGCGGAATATTATTCCCTACCACGTGGCCGAGCAGTTGAAGGTTTCCCAGAGCTATTCCAAAAACCACGACAGCGGCGGAGTGATCTTTGCAAGTATTGTGAACTTCAGCGAGTTCTATGAAGAGAACTACGAAGGAGGCAAAGAGTGCTACCGAGTCCTGAATGAATTGATTGGGGATTTTGATGAGCTGCTGAGCAAACCGCATTACAGCAGCATTGAGAAAATCAAAACAATTGGGGCAACCTACATGGCCGCTTCAGGACTGAACACCTCGCAGTGTCAGGACAACAACCATCCCCACGGACATTTGCAGACCCTTTTTGAATTTGCCAAAGAAATGATGCGAGTGGTGGATGACTTCAACAACAACATGCTGTGGTTTAATTTTAAACTTAGGATTGGCTTTAACCACGGCCCCCTCACCGCTGGGGTCATCGGCACCACCAAGTTGTTGTACGACATTTGGGGTGACACTGTGAACATTGCTAGCAGAATGGACACCACTGGCGTCGAGTGTCGTATACAGGTGAGTGAGGAGAGCTACCGCATCCTAAACAAGATGGGGTATGACTTTGACTATAGGGGGACGGTCAATGTGAAGGGGAAAGGTCAGATGAAGACCTACCTTTACCCAAAATGCATGGACAATGGGATCGTGCCACATCACCAGTTGTCCATATCTCCAGACATTCGGGTTCAAGTGGATGGCAGCATTGGGCGATCTCCGACGGACGAGATCGCCAACCTGGTGCCTTCTGTACAGAATTCTGATAAGATAGCCCACGGCACAGATAACTCGGAAACCAAGGACATCCTTCCTTCCACCAAGAAGCTCCAGAAAGACGTGGTGAGGGCAGAGGAGAGGTGCAGGTTTGGCAAAGCCGCGGAGAAGACTGACTGTGAGGAAGCGGGAACTGAGGAGGTCAATGAACTGACAAAGCTAAATATCTCTAAGAGTGTATGATGCACTGTCGGAGTTGCATGAAGTGCTCTGTCAATAGAAACACAGACATTTGCAATTGGCAGTTTTCTTTTTCAAGAGAGACCTTCTCAACACCTGGGTTGTACGTTTGTTTTCATTTTGGCGCCTGATGCTGTGTGGATCACAGCTCTTCAGGGCTTGTTTTCATCCATCTCTCTCCTCCGTGCCCCAAATCACATCCCAAGCTCCCCAGCTCCCTGTGCAACCATCTTACAGCTGAGTAGAGGATATTAAGTGCCTTCAGATATACTCCATTGGACTCCCTGTCAAGGTACAGAGGCCCCAAGTGAAATCATAGCTTTGGGTATTTATCTAATTTTAAAGAAAAGAAAAGCTGTGGTTATATCATTTTTATTGTTGTTTCTCACAAAACACTTTTTTTGGCTAATGCAACTCCTTGGGTTTTTTATATCTCTCTGAACAATGTTTTACTGTTATCAGACCTTTTGTATGTAAACACACAGACAAATGTGCATGTATCTACCATATGAGACTGACATAAAGTGCCAGTAACGTACCACAAAAGAGTGTCTTGGCGAGGGGGTGACACAATTTGACTTTGTGTTGGGCTGGAGGAGGAGTTCTGCAGTGGCTCGACATTTAGTTAGAGTAGGCTGAACAACCGCTGTAGTTTTATTCTCCTTTTACCAATGCTTTCTTCAACCTTAACGTGCCGTTGTGTGCTTCGGATAAACTTCTTTTCCGTATAGCCGATGAGTTACTGATCTTTGGGAGTGGAATAAGGGTTCGGACTTCACCAGCTCTCAGGACAGGTTTCCAGAAGCAGATGAGTGACCGTGAGAGTGTTACAATCCAGGTCCTAGCGAGTCTAAAGCAGTTTCGTGTTAATCCGTACCCTGGCTGAATTTGCGAAGGTAGGTGAAGTTGGTATCCCTAAGCTGGTCTGATTTGAGAGAGAGAGAGGAAAAAAAAAGCGAAATAAATGTTTGGGGAATGCCGTTTATTTATTTATTTATTTAAGTCCTGTTTTTATTTTGTTTGGAGGTTTTTGTGTGCTTGTGCGGAAGGGATCAGGAGAGACGAATTGTTACTTGGGTTAAGAAGAGTAATAAGACGGTGTTTCAGCCTCTTTGAACTACCAACCACTGTGAGGATGTTACCTAGGCAATATTTGTTTAAAAGCTGGTGAAACTTCCGAAGCCACCAAACGCAATTGAGTACCCCAGCTTTCCCTCTGTACTGAATCAATGGTGCTGCACAATATTTTTCAGGATTTCCCCCCTCCACCCCCGCCCTACACTGTGCTTTTGCAGCAGGGAATAGAACAGCACGCTCCCTGCGTGCCGCTGAAAGCGGGAATAGGGAAAAGAGTCCTTTCTAGTGAGCTGAGAAGCACAATAATTTCCCGGTCCTGCAGATGAGACTCTGCAGGTCCCTGGGACCGGAGACCTGCGGGAGCACAGGAACCTGCTTGCACAGAGGGAACTGCAGGATGGGGCCTTAAGACTACACCAGTTTGCCCTCAGCACGCTTCCATCACCTCCTTCACTTATGTTCGATGCCCTGCTTTGGATAATATTAATTATTCAACTATTTCAGTTCAGCTAACTCCTGCAACACCAAATAAAATGAAAGAATTTTTATGTCCGAAACAAGTTCGTTAGCCAGGGAAGAGCTGGTGAAACGCGATGCTGTGCTTTCTGTGTATTGGTGTGGGTTTTAATTCTTTCTTTCCATCTGAACTCAAGTCACATTATATTGATACTTCTTTTTATTCTCTATGTGATTTTTGGAGTTTGAGTAATAAATACATACATTGTAAAGTTCCTATTCAGCTATTTGAGGTCCATCTACCCTCGGCAGCCAGCACAGAGCCCTTGAAGCCTTTGTCAAACGCAAATCTGCGAGATTTCCCATCTCGGTTAGTTAAATAAGACTCTGCACACTGTTCTCGCAAAAGCTGCTGTTTATGCACCTCTAGATTGCCTTTGATATGAAAGCTCTTTAAAATGAATCTTACTTGCTCGATCTGCCAGCACACACAAAAAAATAGGGGATTCTTGTCCCCATACCCTTGTGTCACAGATAAAAACATAAAGTTTTTATTAGTGCACAGTTCTACAGCAGCCTTCCTTCTCCATCGATTAAAACTAGCCCCGTTCCGCCCCCTCCCCGCAGTGGGTTGCACTTCCAACTTTCAGGTAGTATAACTCTGCAAATACCTCTTGCATCCGAAGAATGTATTCTTGAAACCATTTTTAGGGTTCTCGTTTCAGTTAAGCGTGTGTCAGTATTTCTTTTCTTACAACAGAGGTGTTAACGTGTCCAGAATTGTTTACATGCCTTCTAGTGTTATATTAGCGTCTCAAAGTCGTTCAAACCTTTCTCCCTTTCACTTCTTTCTCCCGATTTTATAGATGACTCTATCCAGTATTTCTGTCTCCTTGATCAGCTGTTGGCAAAGCCAGAGTTCAGTCGAGATGTGCCGGCTTCTCTCTCGCGTGAGACACTGCACGATAACCAAACCCCCACCAGCAAGAGAGGTTTGCACCCTATGATTAAACCTGAAAAGAAGGTGCTGAAGCAGGGCCCCGGACCCACAGCGCCTGCCGCCTTGTTATCCAAGCAACGCGCTGCAGAATACGAAAGCCCGTAAAGTAAATAACGCTCCCGTGCTGTCCTGGTACGGTGCTGCGGGAGCATTGCTGGGTTTCTGGTAACATTAGAATATCCCAAAAAATACCAGGGCCTCTTTTTTTTGTTGCCACGAAGCAAATAAAATGCCCGAGGACAGAAGTATTAGCGGACTCTGAAATCGAGGGCTGTTGTCTGCTGTGGGAACTGCCGGCGACGTTACTCTGCCTTAACTCTGAAGCTGGGAAAAAGAGTCGTAAGAAGTTGAGTAACTCGTGGTGCCCCTGTTTGCTTATTGCCACCAGAACGGCAGCAAGCGTGCGACAACTGAGACTGCAGGTCTTCTTCCCAACGTTTAAAATCTTCTCTTTAGTGCAGCATAGGAACAAAATCAAGAAACTAAGCTCTCGGTTTGGTTTTGGATAGCGAGATTTTCCCAGGCACAAGGAGCAAGGAGATACCTGTTTTCTATCGTAAAACAGTGGGAGCCGAACCTTTGCACCTTCCCTTTACGCCTTTGAAAAGACGTCCCGATATTCACAAAAATTACTCTGGAGGCGTTTTTAATGGCATCGTGCGGTTCTGCGTTCCTCTCTGCAGCCGTGACACGTGTGCGCTTGCAGGAGGCCTTGATCAAAGTTCGCTTCGTTAAAATACCTTTTGTGCTTGTTCTGTTAGTGCCAGCGCAATTCGACCACGGTGTAAAACTTGAGGACTTTGGCCAGGTGCCTGGAAATGTATTCTGCAAGAATAGTCGGTGCGTTGCCGTGTTTCCTATCCTTAGGGTGGTTTAATGGTGATAATTGAAAAATTATCCAGAGGAGAGGAGGGAGGGGAAAGATTGCTGAATACTTGTTAGCCCCGTGTCACCTTCTGCTGCAGATCACTTGCGGGAGCCGCTCCAGAGCGTAATGAGGAATATGCTGCGTATTTTCTGCAGTGTCGTCTTAATCTGCTGCTAACACACAAAAATGCTTATTTTTCTCCCAGCTACTTCTCTGAGACAGATTTCTCATTCGAAAACAAGTAAATGGCATTCCCGTTGATTTCCCTCTGGCATTTATGATTTTGAGAAGAACAGATTTTGCCTGTTACTTATTGCCTGGGATTTGGGGCCGTTCCCCTTTGCTGGAGGTAACGCCAGAGCCGCGAGCAGGGCGGGATGGGGACGGTGCCTGACTGTCCTAATCCAAAGCGCAGGAGGATTTTGATGTGACAAAATGAGGAGAGGGGAGAGGATGGACTCCCCAAGGGCTTTAAAAGAAAATAATAACTAACTATGTGGATACTCTTATTTCAGGGCTAAAACACAGAAAGGAGGCGCCCGGAGCAAAAATGAAAGGAGCTGTAAACCAAACACTGTACTCAGACCAGCTTTTAGCTAAAGAAGAGCTTATTCTTGATTAAAGAGCCAAGCTTTTAGGGTATCTAGCATTTCAAAATTGCTAACTCTTAAGCTATTTCTAAAACTTTTAATTCTGAATATGACCAAAAAAAAAAAATGTTGCCAGGGAGCAACATTAATTCGTGTCTTTATTTTGCAACATCACAAGAGGCCGAGCGCGCCTGAGGTTGGATATAATGCGATCAGCTATTTAACTCTGCACCTTGGGGGGGCTTATTGCCCAATTGAAGGTCTATTTTCTCCCTTCTGCCCTGCTGTGGCCTTTGTTTGCTGGGTCTGGATGGGACGCTGTCCCCGCTCCTCACCTTTGCTAAACCGCGTCTTCGGCGCTGCACAGATCTCGTTTGGTATCTCGGTCCGTTTGTCTGGTCACAGCTGCAGCTTTCTCCTTGTGCTGTTCTTAAGCTGCTTGACAGAAGATAGAGAAGAGCAGCAGGCGCATCCCAGCAGTTAATTTTAAGAATTCTGTGAAAAAATACATTTTTCATCAAACCAGAAGTGAAGAAAAAAAAAAAGGTTATTTCCCTGAGTTTTAGCAGGCGCGCAAAAGCAGAAATAAAATCCGGTGTTTGCTGTCAGCGTTGGGATTCACTGAAGCAGCGTTCCTTTCAGTCCTGTTTTAGTTAAATATTACAAAACCGCTAAAAGTGCGGTAATTATTTATTGATGTGACTTTCCTAGATGCTGAAGATGTCGCGGGGGTGGTTGGACTGTAAATACAGAATGATTTTCGTGTGGAAAGAGAAACAGTCGAGGTAGAGGTGCAGGGATCATCCCCCAGGCAGCTGCGAAAACCCAGTCGGGGTCCCAGAGCAATCCTGAGACTTGGCTCGCTGTATGTGGAACAGGAATTTGGGCAGGAAAGTCATTTATTCCAACGTGGTGGGGTTTTTTTTTCCCTTTCCAGTTCTCTCCACAGGCTGTAGCAGTCCTTGTTTTGATTTCTAGAGGAGCAATGTTTAAGGGGAAGAACCTGAACTACTGTTTGTTGTTGCTGAGAATATCCTCCACTGCCAGTAGCGGTGGGATTCTGCAAC